TAAAAATTATATGAACTTTGTGTTAATTATTTTTAATATTAAAAATATTTATTTGTTATTTAACAATTTTATAAAATCATTTAAAATGATATAATCGTTGAATGATTTAATTTATTATTTTACATAAATCAAAACACTAAGTTCTTATTAATAACTTACAACGTAGTTTAAATTTAGGAAGTGAATTAAATAAATAGTGCATATTTTCGTAGAGCTATATTAACCCGTTGTATAAAATAATTATTATTACTGCAACTACCATAATAAAATAGTATTTTCTGTTAAAATTCATGAAAGAGAATCAGAACGACGTTTTCGATTGGTAAATATGGATTAATCTAGAATTGCCCTAGATCTGTCCAGTTTTGTTGCCCAATTAAACATTATTGGAGTAATCTAACATTTTTGTAGTAGTTTTAGTGGATATATAAATTTTTCTTAAATACATATATCGAATCAAATCACACTTTTTTTGTCAAGTCATATAAAACAATTACGAATTTTAGAGTAATCTTGCTACTCTGGTAAAATATATAGAGTGTTATAAATTCAACTCAAGTGTTATATATTTCGCTCGAGAGTTATCAATAGAAAATGAAAATTGCACTAAAAGTAAATCTCGATTAAAAAAGCTTCGTAGAATTACCAATCAAAAACGGCATATGTGATTATCCCAGCCCTGACGTTCCGGTATTAAAACACGAAAAGGACGATCAAGCTATACATTTCATTAAGTTCGATATGTATGTTCAGTACATGTTAATGTGTAGAAGTTTTCCAAATATCTATTATCATCATCCTCTTTGGAAATAATCGTTGCTTTCTTTATCCATATATAATCTTTGGACTGTAAAAGTTTTATTTGAAATTAAATAAAAATGTTGTTTCTTTTTCGTCTTATGAATTAGGTTAATCAATATGAAAATATTGAACGCAATCTATACCTTAAAATTTTATTGACAACGGCTTCAAGTTACACAATCTCATATTTTAATATAATTAACGCTTCTTCAGGAAGAGCTCATATGTAAGTGCACTGAAGCATTGACCATTTTCAAACAAAACAAATTTGTTCACATCTTAATAATGCCTTGAGATACAAATGTATATAACTATTTCATTTCATAAAATGCCAGATGTAACACGCCGCTGAGGGACTATTAGAACTTAAATACTCAAATATTTATATATCAATGCGTATGTTTAAAAGTGAACTCATAAATTCACAAGTCAACTAAATACAAGCTTACATGTCCTGAGAGGATAATTCTACGTGGATGTTAAAAATAATATCAATGAGGAAAACTGTTTCAGGAAGTGTATCTTGAACAAAGCGGTGATTATAATAGTAAACGGAAACATAACTTAGGTTTATATCACTAGAATTAAAAGAGTTTAAAAATTCTGACTGTATGTATATATATTTTTGTGTTATATACAAATCTAAATATATATTTCTCAACACTAATTAAAAAATTTGATTTCATTATATTTAAGATATTCATGGTAAAAAAAATGTTAATATATATTCAGAAGAAAGAAGTTGAGATATAAAGTCGATATGAGTCGTATATGTAAAACTTAAATACTTTTTAAAATTTTCTTCATCTTCCTTTTTTAAAGACTTAATATTTTACTCTATAAGTAATTCAATTTACCAATTTGAAAAATAGATATTAAATAAATTCTTTGATATTAACCTTATTGCTAATTCAGTACGTTTTACAATACTAAATATACGAATATCATGACAAAATTACCTTAAAGATTTACTTCATTGATAAAACATTTTGGTGTGCTCCATTACTATAATATGGACAGGAGACCTTCACAATTTTTAAAATCGCAAGGAAAGTAAAGATGTTTTGGTAATAAAAAGGAGAGCCAAGGTAAGCTAGTAGCATTATTTAATGCTACTCCTATTAGTAGTATATCTATGGGATTTTATTGACAATAAGGAGCTCACCTACAGAGTAAATGGTATCGCCAAAGAAAAGGAAATCGATACGTGATTAATGTAACTATTAAATAACGAATCTAAACTTTGGGATCATATAACAAATACGATAAATATCAGCAAAATAAAAGAAAAAGAAAAGATATATAATATAGATTCTTTGTGTGAAGCGGAGTACAACTAAATAAACTAAAGCCTCCTAATTTGGTAATACTTATATCACTAAGATATTAAAAGACTAATGTATTCATTTAAAACTTAAACCAACGACTAATGGAGTTTATTTCTGTAAGGTCTATCCATTCACTGTTCAGTTTGTAGAAAAAATTTGAATTTAAGAATTATGGTTTATCCTATCCTAGGATAAACATTTATCCTATCCTATTTTTTATTATTTTTATAAACTTAATGTACAAATGTTTATCCTATCCTAGGATAAGCATTTATCCTATCCTATCCTGGGATAAACATTTATCCTATCCTAATATCCTAGGTTTTATACTACTTAGAATCTAAAAATGTTTTAACGTATTACGTATGAGTTGGTGAAGTCACTCCATATTAATTATCTTTAAAGAGAGTCTTCAAGCAACTATTTCTCAAAACGTTGGTGGCATTTTTGAAATGCATTAAAAGCATTACAGAATTTAAAGTACTAGCAAGTATCTCAATGTGTTTAGTATGCAAGTGTCATAAATTCTGTTGATAACTTGACACGTCAACAGCTATAAGCGAACACTTAAAACAAAAAATAATAAACAACAGAATCCACTTATGAGCAATGATCGCATCAATTACACCCTTTTCGAAATAAATACTCACTTAGATGTTCTGCATATGGGAATGGCGGAGAGCACCAGGCAAAATTCTAATGAGCCGTCATTAATATTAAACACGAGCTGTCATGTCAGGAAAAATTTTTTATAAAATCATATGAAGAAAATGCAACAAAATATTGAGAAGATCAAAGCGAATTTTTGTTTTTATTTTGAGTTGCACTAATAGTCATTAAAAGATTTGCCGCCAGATTTTGAAATGAAAAAAATTGCGAAGCTTTGAGTTTTTTTTAATTTCCATACTAAATTATAAGTTATGTAATAATTTTAACTAATATACTGTAGCTACTTTGCTTTACATAACAGTTGTACAATTATCCGTCTTCAAAACACGCCCTCAAAATACAAATTCCTCGTCTCATAGATATACTGTCTGCTTTGTTGTTTGAAATGAAGATGTCTTGTCAGCAGCTGACATTTTGTGTCAGCCCAATTTGCTAGGTATGTGTTTTCCGACATGGACTTTTTATAACTGTTGTCGGCTGTCAACGGACTGATATAATTCGGTAAGGCAGACAACAACACTTCAACTGCCTATGTTCTTATGCACATATGCCTATATGTGTATATAATGAACATGTATCTTCTGGCAGTCTGATCTTTTTTCTCATATTTTATTTTGTTTGCACTTCAAGCATTAAATGATACTCAAATTTCAAAGTCAAATTGAAGCGTCTCCTTAAAATATTTAAAAGTTATATCACTTTAATTTCCTTAAATGTTTTGGGGTGTAAAGATTTAGACTTAATGTGTGATTGGCATATTCCGGATATGCGTACTTGAGATACTTGTAATACGTTTCAATTGCTCATTGGCAATGACACTCTGCTAAGTGGCTGTAACGTAGAGTATAGCATCTAAAAATAATTTGTATCTTTAAAATACTCAATATTAAAAATATACAGTAGATACATATACTCTTATGATGAGTTTATTTAAACAAAGATTAAAATAAATCACATGATATGTATTTTTTGAACATAGGACTTAGTAAATATTTTCTAATTAAATACAAAACAACCTAGATAAAAACATAATTAAACTGTCACAATACAACTACTAATATATATTATAACTGAAACAACCAGAAGTTTTTTAAGACTTTTTACCGATCTTTTGGGGAAAAGATAGATCTATACAGAGAAGAAAAATACTCGCATGAAAACGTGTTTTGGATTTCAAATTAATACTTAACCCTGAACTAAATTTATCGCAGAATATTTAACTAACTTAACAAATAAATGTTACACTATATTATAGCTCAGTATTATTTCGATATTAAGGCAATCTGTTCTAACATATAAATCTATTTCTTTTATAATTATACCTCACCTTTTAACTATACCTTTTATAATTAATGTTATAATCAAAGTATATATTGTTATGAAATTAGGGTTTGCCAGTTAAATAGGAAGTATAAATGGGATAAAAACGATTGGAAGGAAAATTATTATCATTAGTTAATCTTTAACCTTGATTTCTTTTACGGTATGACTTATGACAAAACAAGATAGATTGCGATAAAGTATAACAAGTTATTTGAGTTATTGAGTTATTGCTTAACTTTTACAAAATCCAGTTGTTCGAACCAACACTTCAGAGTAGTAATTTTGTAACAATATCTTACATCGAAACCCTTGAATATATTTTTTTTAACGAAGACATTTTTTTCAACAAAATATTACATAAAATTGGAGATTAGTTAAAAAATCTAGTTCGATTGTTTAGAATAAAACAATTATAGTATTAAAATTATTTGATATTACTTGATATATAATTTTAAAAACACAACAATAAGATATATATGTTATAAAGTTGATTACATATAGTTTTGTACTACTTTTTTTTCTCAATAAAAATTTTGTATATAATTTAACTATATAGGCCGTGTGCGAGTTCGGGTAAATTGAGGTAAAGTAAATTGATATTTCTTAAGGATTTTTTGCACTGCACTTATGTAAATATTTATTTATTTATTTATTTATTGCACTTATTTATCATTTTTGGTTAAAAGTTTTCTAATTTATTTATTTACTTATTAAACATCTCATAAAATTTTCACAATGGTAACATCGAATTTACATAATTTTTAACTAATTCACCCTATTCGAAATTCTGGTAAATACCTATATTCGCTGCCATACCGACATAATTTACTATTTCATAATAATTTACTCGAACTGGCACACGACCATACTCTGCAAAAGTTACTCCAATTCAAGTTTGCGAAAAGATCCCTCAAGACCAAATTCAGCTTCATAAGGTATGACATCACCACTGCGTAAGTTTTCATTCATACCGTATAGAATGTCTTCTTCGAAATAGGTTTTGTAACTTCTCAGAGTGTCTTCCATATAACCAATACATTCGGCAATATGACCATTATAACCACCATATTCTTCTGGAAGGCATTTTCTTGGAACATGATTGTAAAGTTCTTCAGTTGTTTTTAAAACAGTCATCTATGGATAATAAAGTATTATAATAATTTTTAAGCTGCAAGGAAACTTTACATTACCGGATAATCAGTTTCATTTTGAAAGAATTTTTGAATCTGCATCATGCGAAGCATATCTTTACTTGCATTTATAAAATAAACTTGTTTTATCCGTAAAGGAAGACAATCTCTTATCCAAAAATACCACATTTTCATAGTATGATGATCAAAGCTATGAAAGAATGCATTTTCTATACCAGCCAAATCAACAATTTGTGTTACACCTGCTACATTTGCATTATCATTCTCTAGAGCCATGATTTCCATAGCCATAGTAACAAACTTAATTAATTCACATTGCCTATGCTGCTTTCGCGAAAATTGACCACAACGTACCATAAGCAAAGCAGTATTGTTGTCACATTTCGGAAATTCTGGATAGATATGTATGCTATAAACGAAACATACTTCATTATTATCACATCATTTCATTTTATTTTGCTAATACTAACCCACAACGGTTCATGTGTAGTATGCGATCCGTTACAAGACGATTATAAAAAATCTGTGGCAGCACATTATAAAAATGGAAAAAAAGTTCTATACGTTTTTTGGTTTCTTCCAAACTATAACTACAACATCTGAGAAATGCAATCAAAAACTCATCAGAAGTACGGGCTCTCAGATGAATTTGCTGACGTATCCAAACTCTTAATATGAACAAGTCCTGTTCTACACGTTCAGGTATTTCATTTAGTTGCTCCTTAGCTATTTTAGCCAAAGCTGGTGTGAGTGGTCGCATATTTACTTCTCAAATAAAATGCAACCTTTCGTTAACTATTTTCAATTTAATAATCTAATTGCGACTAAATTGTTCCTCCGTTTAAACAATTATAGATATGGCATTTGTAATGATTTTGTTTTCACTGTCATATATAAATAATTTGTGATATACGATACCCGTATATCCTTAACAACCGAATTATCTTATCTGAATTTCTAATCTCCAGCATAATTACAAAAGCGTGTTTGTTAAATTGAATAAATTGCTTAAATAAAATAAACTTTATGTATATATATTTTACGATTTTTCTTTGTATCATATTGGTGAAAATTATGAAATATATTATAACGTATTAATAATTATAACGATTTTTTAATTTTATAATAGGTTGTTATTAATATAAAATCATTTCATTTCTTACTTAATCGAAACTATTGTATTTTATAGAGAGATTTCGAACAGTAGTGAACTATAACAACAACATTTTTTTTTTATATTTTAATTAATAGTGACTACAAAAACAACAATTCTTTTATATTATTTTAATTAATGAATTTTTGGCTGACCATACATCCCTTTCGAGTATTGCCAAATACTCATCTTTAGTGGTCATGGAATTCAATTTCTTATATTTAATTATTCGTAATTTTTGAAGCCGCAAATATCAAGGATTGAACCCGTACCCTGTCATATTTGAAGCTCAGAATCAGTGTTCATTAAGCACCTGACCAAAAGCTACTGATGATGGGTATTTGGCAATACTCGAAACAGTTGTATGGCCAGCCAAAAATTCAATTAATTAAAATATCAAAAAAAAAATTGTTGTTGTAGTTCATTACTGTTCAAAACCGCTTTTAAATCATTTGTAAAATCTTCTCTCTAGTATATCGAATATAAAGTATTAACCAAACACATAACCAAAATAGTTTAGTTTTTTAAAAAGGGCTGAAGTCGATTAATTTTCAAATCTAAAATTATGACTTATTGTATAGATATGTCAATGTATTAAATGTTTAGGCATTACTATCACTTAACTTTAATGAAGTAATGGACCGAAAAATTGCAGAATAAAATATGAATTAAATAAGCCAAAGTACTGAAAATATTCCGTTCTAATCAATAAATCAGATATATTTACGCACTTTAAAAATCGAAAAAATAATAAAACTGCTGTCATATTAATATTGTAGATTTATTATATGATATAATGCATTTAATATATAATTTTTATAATAATATAATAAATATAATTTTCACATTTAATTTATATGTAATTATTAATTCCTAATAATTAATTTCAATATAATTTTTTAAATAATTTATTAAAGTCATCTTAATCGACTTGCAATTTCCTGTACGAACCATTTAAGCCACAAAAATCTCGATGTTCAAATCTTTTAGTTAAACAAATTCTGTTCTTCTCAATTGTTCCAAAATTGTCATCATTGGCGAAGTAATCAGTGTATTGTAACAATTTGTGTCGCCAATATTCCAATGCCTCTGCCTGATATCCATTCTGTCCACCATATTCAATAGGCAAAGCTTCACGTGGCAAATATTTAAAAATATCTTCAGCTTTTTTATGCATAAAAACCTATAATAATTTTAATATTGTCAAAAAAAAAATATTATATTTACAATGCCATGATAAAAACTTACTTTGAAATGTTTCTTACAAGACAAAAAATTAGACATTATATTATAAATCGTAAAAGTATCCCGACGCATATGTATTAAATGGATTTCAATCAATTTCAAAGGCATGCAACGTTCACCAAATAACCAATTCTTCTTTAGCAAAGCACGATCACATTTTCGCATCTGTTCCATGGTTATATCACGTATATCAAATATGAAGACTATACCAGCAACAGTTGCATTATCATCCTCCATGGCAAGAACTTCCAACAACATAAAAAATATTTTGAAAATCTCATTCAAATTCATGAATTTCGGGTCTTGCTTGACAAGCGGTATAATAATTATTCTCGGACCAATAGCACTACTTGGTCTAATCGGTATGATATAGACACTATAAAAATAATTTAAATAATCAAATTCTTATTTTGATATTATATAGATACAATTCCATAGGTACTAACCCGGTGTTATATAAGTGAATTAAAGATTTAGTTACTTCACGTTCGCATAGGAACTCTCTGCAATGAATTTTCATTGTATAAAAAGCGTCAATACGTTTCTTTGTTTCCTCCATACTAAATTGGCAACGCCGCAAGAAAGCTAATAGCAATTTTTTATCCATACGTGCTTTAAGGTGAGGGGACTGCTTAATCCATGATTGCAGTGCACTAATGTGGCATTCCACGGTGTCTGGATTTTCATTACAATTTTCTAAAGCAAGTTCTTGCAGAGCTGGTGTAAGTACACGTATTGTGTTCGACATTTCTACTTTTATGACTAATATCAACTAAATACTGATTGTTCTAACATCCAGACCTTGCTATGCTAATTTATTGGAAATGCTCTTGTATCTTATCAAAATATTGGGAAAATGTGTGGAAAATAGTATTTTAATTTTTTTTTTTTTTTGTAAATATATTGCCAGGCGTGAATTAATTAGCGATAAGGGATTATCTATAATTTTATCAACAAATATGCTCAAAATGATTAATAAATTAATAACTAATTGACATATTTAGTTTTTTTATATAGTAAAATAATATAATTATATCAATAAATAAAACAGTCGAAAACGTATCTAAGATAGCAAGTAAATTGTATATACAATTTCAGATAGAACAATGAATATTTTATGGATGGAAGTCTCCAACAATTAATACACTAGAAAAATTTTAAAATAAAATATATTTACATATACCGAGAACAATACCAAAATAAAAATATATAAAAGTAATGCTGTATTGAGAATTTATATTCTTCAATTAACAGTTCAATTTTAATAACAGTACTCACTATTGTGAACCCACTGTACAAAAATCTTGGAATAGAAAAATCAATTTTAAAGTTCACTAAGAATAAAGAACTGGACTACTAGGTCCTTCGCCATGCCAAAAAGTATTTTTTAAATACTGGTTTTGGTTTGGGCACTTAAATTATAATTAGTTGATAATAAAAATTAAAAAAAAGTTTGCTAAAGGATTTTGCAAATACAGATTGGGTATTTAATTATATTTAAACATATTTTTATTGGTATTATAAATACGTAACATCAAAACAATTATATCGCAACATAATCCAAAACTACATTGATATTAAGCATTATTGTTGTGGATATAGTATTAACATTTACTTCTAGTGCTGATCCAGTATCCAATATTAACATTATTTTTATATCCGTCTTTATGAAGAGTAGGTAGTATGATTAGTCTTTTGAATTCAGTACATTTTTATTACAGACTATTGAAATTAATAATATACATTTAATATTATTATGATACGGGACCTCTGACATCCCAAATTTCAAACCATCACATATTGCATACAATTCCGTAAAGTTCAAAAATGTAAAAAATTATCTATTATTATTATTATCTTAGGCATTTCAATTTATTGTAAAAAAAGACTTCAAAATATTTCAGTTACAAAGTCAAAAAAACAACAATCATTAGTAGATACATGACTACTATTTTTGGTATTATTTACTACTAAATTTCATGTACACATAAAAGATTATTTTAATCTTTGTTCTTAGCTATGACAAATGGATAGATAAACAGTTAAATAGATGCAAGTGGCAGCCTGTCTCAACATGAAAGGACCGACTACTCGCTCAGATACCACAGAGAAACCCTGTTGTGATACCACAAAGAAGTTAAAAACACTTTAGCTGAGTGAGAAATTATGAAAAGAGAGATAGAAAAGAGAGATAGATATTTTGATAAAATCAGTGGTCCTTAACGTACGCATTGAACATGTAGATAATAAAGGAAGGAAGAACTAATAGTGCATTGAGGCTTTCTATTGAGTGCTGAGAAGTAAGTAACATTTTCTTATGCCTGCTCTGACTTATAACTTTAACAATAACCTTTGCGTCAATTTAGTCGATATAGGTTTCTTTTAGCAAATATATAAATATAATAAGGATAATGTTAGAAAAGAAATTCATTTTGATCCGATGAACATCAGTAAGGATTTTTAGAAAATTTTTTATAAAATAGTAGTTATAGGTCTACATGGTGTAATTTACACAAGAGATTTTACACAAAAATTTTAATTAATAGTTAATTTTTTAATATTTGCAAATATTTATTTTTTTTTAAGTTTTTCGAATATATGAATAATTAAAGGATCTCTTTAAGTAAGATATTTTTACAGTTAAGTCATTTATTTTAATATTATTACATAGATGGCAATTTCATTTTAATCTAAACGAATAAAATATATTTAATCTTTTAAAAACGTTAAAAATCACAAAAAGCTTTCTGTATTTGATATAACATATATATATGATATAACATATATATATTTAACAAATAAGCTGTTTCTCCGTTTAAACGATTAAAGATATAGCATTTATAATTAATCAATTTTAAATTTACGGAAAGTGCCCGCAAGACCAAATTCAGCTTCGTAAAGTGGAACTTCTCCCCTACGCAAACTTTCGTTGACACCATAAAGAGTATCTTCTTCGAAATAGCTTTTGTAACTTCTCAGTGAGTCTTCCATATAACCAACACATTCTGCAATATGACCGTTATAACCACCATATTCTTCTGGAAGGCATTTCTTCGGAACATATTTATAAAGTTCTTCAGTTGTTTTTAAAACAATGATCTATGAAAATAACAAAGAATGTTTTTTTCAATAGGTTCCGCAAATTAAAAATAAGTATTACCGGATAATTAGATGCACGCTGTAGAAACTGTTGAAATAAAAACATACGAAGCAGTTCTTTACTGGGATTTATAACAAAAATATCTTTTATGCGTAATGGAAGGCAATCTCTTATCCAATAAAACCATTTTTTTACCATTACACGATGAAAACTATAAAAAAATTCCTTTTCCACACCATCCAAATCGATTATTTCCGTAACACCAGCCACACTTGCATTATCGTTTTCCAGAGCAATAATTTCCATAGCCATTGTTACGAATCTGACTAGTTCTCGCTGTGTATGCCATTTCCAAGAAAATTGTCCAATACGTATTATAAGTAAAGCAGATTGATTGTCACATTTCGGATATTCTGGATAGAAATATATGCTATATGTAAGATTTAAATTGGATTTCCCAGGAAAGATAAAAAGAGTTAACAAAAAAAGGTTGAATAAATACTGATTACTAACCCAGTTTTATTCATATTTAGAAGGCGTTCTGTAACAAGACGATTATAAAAAATTTCTGGCATCAAATTGTAAAAATGGAAAAAGAGTTCTATACGTTTTTTAGTTTCTTCCAAACTAAAATTGCAGCGTCTGAGAAATGCAATCAAAAACTCATCAGAAGTACGGGCTCTCAGATGTATTTGCTGGCGTATCCAAACTCTTAATATGAACAAATCCTGTTCTACACGTTCTGGTGTTTCATTTAGTTCCTCCTTAGCTATTTTAGCCAAAGCTGGTGTGAGTGGTCGCATTTTTATTTTTCAAATAAAATATAGATCCTCCCGATGTGCTTTCAATTTCAATAATAAATAAACTGTTTCTCCGTTTAAACAATTATAGATATGGCATTTGTAATGATTTTGTTTTCACTGTCACATATAAATAATTCATGATATACAATACTCGTATATCCTTAATAACCTATTTATCTTATCTGAATCTTTAATTATCATTATAATTAGAAAAGCATGTTAATGAAATTTAACAAATTACTTCAATTAGCAATTCATTGCGATATTTCTAAAATATAATATACCTACGTGTGAATAATTCTAAAATCATAAGATTCACAATTAAATTTGGTTTTAGGTTCTTTCTTAAAAATGATAGAAATTACAAACTTAATATAGAACAGTTACGATAGTGCGTTCCTTTTAGCGCTACTGGTCTTATTGTTTCGACTTTACCGCGGTATTTCTATCTGATATTATCAACAACAAATACCCTAACAATCCATCCATTCAATAATGGACTCTGTGATAATTGAACACATCAAAGCAATAGCCTTTTAATCAAATTCGTTTAATTTTTTAAAAAGAGTTAAGTATATTTGCGAAATTAACATTAAATTTTTAAAATTATTGGATTAATGTTCGTAATTTGATTTTTTGCAGTTTCAATATTAATTTTGAGCAACAATGGATTTGAATACTGAACAACGTAGTATTTCCAACTTACGTTCTTCATAAAATATTTATACAATATTTTATGGGTTGTATTTGTGTAATAACTTATATAACAACTAACTTAGTTTGGAAATGCTTTCAACTTCTCAATACTTCTGAATACAATTTTTATGTGAACGGGAGAAACAAAATCTACTTGAACACTGGAGAACCCAAACAGTACGTCTGTTTGGTCAAGAAGATTCATGGATCCTGAACACATTAAAGTTAGCACTATCCCTAACCTTAACAGAAACGATATTGCAACTGCCCAGCTGTGGTAAGACATAGACTCGACTGCCTTGCAAGCAGGATCTTAGTCCCATATCAAATAGGTAAAATTAAGCCCACAGCAATTACGAGATTTATAAATAGTCTAAAATTATTTTAGTTGGTACTTTAGGCGCACAATAGATCTTTTATGTCGGGGCTACGAATGCCTATTATTTAAAAAATAAATTTTTTACATAAATTGGAGTAAAAAAGTATAACTACGTAGCATATCAATGCTGTTCTATAGTATTGTTTTAGGAATATTACGTTCCTATATATACAATTAACATCCAATTATTAAGTGTAATAAGCTGCTTTAATACTTTTTTTTTTTTAATACATTTAATATTAACCATTTTCATTTACTAAATCGATTTTTTTCTTAAATCAATTTTCTTCTTTTCATATACAATGAAAAAACAAATTTTAATAAGTTCATAATATTTATTTGCAATACAATTAAATTACATTTTTAATTACTGGATATTTTTTTAATTATTAACTATTAAAATTTTTATCTAAGCTTAGCAAATGAATTAATTTAGTTTCTTACATTAAATATTTTTATATATTTTTAAACTATTTTTGAATAAATTATTGAATAAATTAAATTACATATAACTATCGAATATAATAAATTAATAATAATTAAGCTTAATTGATTAATTTAATTAATTTTTCATGTTGTACATTTTTGTTTAAATGTTGAGTTTAATGAATGCGGTGAGTGTTGCGATGAGGCTGTTTCTGTTTTAATATTAGCAGATGATGCGGAGGTAACAGTATTGGAATTAGTGTTGCAAGCTAACTGATGCGCTGGAACTTTTTTTACATTTAAATTTGTATTTTTATTTATGCTTTGAACAATTAAACTTAAACAATCCAAACTCGAACCATTAGTAGACGGGGAAGAGTCAAAATCTAAAAAAGAATTTATAAAAAATACTAATATTAATATTGAAAAATATATATATTATACAATCATATAAGCTTAAGCTAGAAATAAAAACAAAAGTTTTCTAAAAATAGTTTTCTCAAAAAATAATTAAATAAATTTATTAGACAGATATTATTAATATTCATAAATGTTCATATAAAAATTTAATGAAATTTATATCTAAAAATCAAAATATTAAAAAATTAAGTAATTTAATTCATAAATTTTAGAAAAATAAGTTATTTTTAACTCAACAGCCATTTCATTATTAATTTTATTTAATAAATAAAATTTTTTCTTCTTTAATTCAATATATATATTACTTATAATTTCAGTTTCTTTTAAATTTTATTTTGTTAACTAATCACACATTTACATATTATATGTTATATATATATATATTATATTATAAAAAAGTGTTATAAAAATTAATAATGAATTACCACTATTTTTTTTATTACTTTTATTCTTATATTTATATGTGTTGTAAATACTATAAAATTTAATATTAATTAATTTTTTCCATTTTATTAATATACCTGAAATTGGAGTATAGCTATTGGAATCTTTGTTGTAAAAATTTAACTTCTGACGAAAATACGCACCTGTATAAGAAGTCTGAAAAAGAACAATTAAAAACAATTTATTAAAAATTAACTTATAATATAAATGTAATATAATATAATTAATAAATAACTTAAAACTTGTCTGATTGCCTCATTTTTTAAGCGATTTTTTTGGAGTATACCTATAGGTTATTAAGACTATCTAAGCTCCGATGCAGGTCACAAATAGTTTAAATTTTTTTCTTTTCTTTCCTAAATTTTGTGATAAATTTTTTTCCTAAGATACAATATCATTTGCAAATAAAGAGTTCAAAAATCATTACACAGTAATGTTTGGTTATAAAAAATAAAACTCTGCTTTATAAGCAAGTAATTACACCTATACTACTTTATGGATATGTGTCTTATTGCAATGTTGCTCCATAGACCAGTAGAAAACTTGCAGCTTATCAGAATATTGTATTGAGACATATACTAAAAGCTCCATGGTATATCAGAAATAAAAATTAACAGAACGCTGAAATTGTTTGATTCTATGATTATCTATACTAATCGAGAATTGTACTCTCTCAAATCAAATGGAATATATATTTCGTCAGAAAGATATGCTGGACTTCAAACTATTCCTTTGTAAATACACCTGAATTATCACTATCAGTATTCAAAGGAGTTCCTTTTATACCATTGTAGATCATCCAAGTGGTCACAGGCAATATAGAGTAAACGTGCTTCAGACACTCACTCACGTTTCATCAAGCAAAGAAGAAGAATATAAAGAAGATAATTACATTTAAAAATAAATTTTTTTTAAGTAAAAAGGTAATGGCTGTGTTAATACCTAACTGAAAACGTACAGGAAAAGATGAAGGTTTCTTTTAAGTTATTTAATTGAAATATATTGATGTTAGATTTGTTAAGTTAAGAATAACGTGTTCTTCTTTCGAAAGATAATTTTTTCAAATTTTTCAAAGGCAAAGGCATGTAAAGAAAAGTACATGCCTAACATAATTTTTTTTAGTGCAGTCGTCACTTTTGATGCTGTTAACAACAATTTTGTTGCTGTTAGCTAGGTTTTTGCCCGTCTCATTTATAATGTATGACTCTATTTTGTTAGTAAATATTGTATGTTGTCGATTTTTTTCACAAGATAATAAATATTATTTTATATTTGGCAATACTCGAAATAACTGTATGATTAGCCATAAACTCAATTAATTAAAAATAAATTTAAAAAAATTTTTGTTGTTATAGTTCATTACTTTTCGAAAGCTTTCTATTAAATACTACAGTTTCTTTGAAAGTAAAAATATATATTACTGTCATATTCACGTTGAAATCAAATTTAATACATTTTTATTAAAAAATTAACTACTAAATATAAAAAATTGTAAAAACACACTACCAATATAAAGATACTTATTCAATATGATTAAAAACAAAAAACAAATACAGATAAAATTAATACACTAAGAATCTGCTCAATAATAAATTATCTTAAAATGAAAATACAAAAATTGCAAAAAATACTCATTATAAAAATGTTTTTTTAAGCACAAAAAAAATGTTTTTTTAAGTACCAGAACAAAAAAACTACACATGAATTAGTAGAAATCAAAATATCTTCTGTCATTTTTGCACTGAAATGAAATACAAAATACAACCTAATGATGAGATTACGCCAAATTTATGCTTATTGCTGCTATATTTGTATCAAATTAAAATTACAGAACTCAAGAATTTAACACAGAATTTCTGAACTACAACAAAGTCAAGAAAATCCAATTAAAATGCATTGAACCCTATTAAAAGTGCAATGAGTAACATATTAAGAAGTACACTGTAGATACTCGGCAGAAAATGCAATATTATTTATTTTTATCTCGTTAGTTTATTCACAATGTAATGATATACATATTTCGCATCTGAGATTCTGTGACTAGACAATGACAGTAAAGTATATGGATTTAAGGCGTACTGCACTTAGCCATTTTATGGCATTTTTAATAGTGGCACATTTATAAGCAATTAAAATAATTTCCCAGATTTTTTTCAACATATCAAAAGAAAAGTTAAAAGAATCCTTATAAATATTTAAGTAGCTTTGTTTTCTGTCTAAGCATACGCAGACGACGTGGCGTTCGATTCATATAATTAGTTTATTTTTGGTACTTTTTATTCATTCAAATTTCTTTTATAAGAAAAATAAATATTACTTAACAATGAAGTGAGCTAATATTTTCTGATATTTAAATAAAAATGTACTTTAATTATACTACAAGGTATATGAGCACGCATGCATCATTGTTCTATTCGGTATACATGAATACGTTTGTACTATGTTTGTGTGACTAAGGAAAGAATATGTAGTAGAACTTTTAATCAGATACAAGATACATAGATGTTTACGATATGGTAACATAGCAATTTGTTAAATACAATTATTATTTCTTTACATAATAAAGCAGATATATTTTAAATCAGAATCATCTGCACACAGTGGTGACAAGCCATTTTAGAAGTACATGTATAAACGGAAGATTATCCATTTTGTGTTGACAAGCCATTTGAGAAATATATTTATAAACGGAAGATTATCCATTTTATGGTTCCAAATGTGAATGTACACACTTGTGATTGGGGTTTACATCAAATATTCGGATTTCTCCTGATGAAGCCAAAAGCGAATTTACCTTTTTGTAATTGTAATGTTCCTTTGACAATTACTTTTAGAATTTCACAATGATTCATATTGGAAAACATCAAACCTAAAACTAAACATTTGAAGACATAGATAATAGTTATGTTTGATTATGTCATTTAAAGTGTATTGCCAAATCAGGCCTACCATAAGAATAAGCTCTCATCTACATTAAGATAAGACTGTACTTAATATGTATCTTTGTAATTATTAACGTTATATTAAACTTAATTATGATTCGAAAGGAAATATCATTAGAACAATTTCTGATAAAATGAAGAGAGCAGAATTCGATTGAGAACCGAAATTAAAAATATAACTTAAATAAAAATATCGTCCGAATTATTAAATTCCAAAGATTGAGATAGATTGGACATGCATCCAAAATGAACCTTTCCAAAAAGTAACTGAAAATAATGAACTCATTATGTAAAGTAAAAGAAAGGAGTCAAGTACGATTGAAGTGGTTTAAAGATATTATGGAGGATTTTCAGTGAGTATAAGAAGCTGGAGAGTTAAACGATACAAATTATTGTAATATGCAGTTCAAAGTTCACTATGAGTTGTTGGCGAGTATGAATTGCATCACAAACATGTCTTTTCAGATTTCAAAATCGACTAGTTCAAACTGCACATTAAATGTACCAGTTACCTGCTTTAACTAAAGCGAGATCCGCTCAACACTACGGTATTGGTGCTGATAGGTCATTACACACTAAGAAGAACTACTACCCTGTAATGACTTTTGTCGGGATTATGGCTTTGCATATAAGCAAGAAGTTGTACTCTACTGTTAGGTGTCAGTGTTCATCATTGCTAGAAGAAAATTCAAAATCTCTTGACCCCGTTTTCTTAAAGGCTTGACAGAGCTGTTATTCTGCAAAAATAGGGATTTAGCCAAGTTTATAGACTTGCCGGATTGATTCACTTTTACCTGAATGGAGGAGTTGTACTTATCAGCGTTAATCGTACACTGACCACTGCGTCCTTCTAGTAATCCTTCTGGTCTGTGTCTGAACAACATTAATCTATGCTCTCACAACGGGTCATTATTTGAGCTCATGTGGGCTTTGGACAAAAGGCTGTCACTCCAACCTAATCTTACCTATGCATTGCATCAATTGTACTCAGCTATAAAACCTATTTTATCTTTTCATATTATGTTATAATTAATTTCTATTGCGCTTAGACGATTTTATGTATGCTGTTAAAATAATGTTACCTTGTGGTAATGGCATTTTCCTACACAAATATTTTAATTAAAATAAATGTTAATAAAATTTTAAATTAAGGCAAAACATTTTTAAGAATAGCTATATATGCACGTTTATACGTCATTAAAAATACAGAGGTTATGGTTGATACACTGATGCAGAATTAATTTATTTTTAATTCAATAAAATTTAAATTATTTTGCTTAATGATCGATATGTTAATAAATTGTTTTTAATATTACTACTTAAATGAATTTTTGTAATTATTTTTATTTTTCTTATATTGTAAATGAGCAATGATTTGACTAATATTGTAAACAAATGAGCTTCAAGTGCAATTTAAGGATTAAAACAGTCAATGCCATAGCACATATGGTGAACATTATTTATTCCAATTCAATGATTACAGCATTTTTATTTTCTGAGAATCTTAAGCATAATATATATACATACGCGTAGTATAGTTTTGTGTATAAGACAGAATATAATTTTATTTTTTTCTCAAAGCACTCACAAGAATGATAAAAAATGCACTTTTATAAAATCATTTATCATTTTGTTGCAAGTTTACTGACAAAGAATGTTTAAATACTTTCTTGTGTCTTATATGTTGTTTACATATTTATATTAAAATTTTTTTTTATAAGACGAATGTGAATTTAAATGATATATTGTAATTTTCTCATTAATTGTCACATTCTTTTTAACATATTTAAACCTATTTAATCTATTTCAATCAGAATTTGTGGATTCTTTTTTTGAATCTATGTGCCTGCATCAAAGAAATCGGAAATATGAGATTTGAAAAGGATTTTGTATACTTATTTATGTGGTCTTAAAGAAAAAAAATATAATTTATTATTATGTAAGATATATATAGTTGTTTGAAAAGTCTTTAGAAGGAAGATTTACTATATGCACAGCTATAGTTGTGTGAAATAAAAAAGATAGACGAAACGACAAGTAAAAAATGTTTTTCATTTTTATGTACATTATGTATAAGTATATTACATATATTACATATATGTAATATTACAATAAATTTATATATAATTTAAATAGACAAATATATTCTTAATAAAACATTATTTTAAAAAAGTGTAATTATCTCAGTTATTAAATAATTAATAAAATATTAAA